ATCCATCGCGATTTAGCTGCTAGGAACGTTTTAATCTGTCGGAATAGGATAATCCGGATCACTGGCATCGGTCAAGATTACCAGTGGGATGTTCAAATGGGAATGAATAATATCCAAGGTTCATCCCCTTACAAAACCATGGCACGGGAGTCCATTAGCACTTATCAGTTTACGGAAAAGGTACCCATTTACAAAGTTACCCACTTATAACCTAGCAACAAAACAATTTCGCTAAAGCTTGTTTAAACAATAAGAAGTGCTAATTCACCCTTAAAACTCACTTCTAAACACACAAAAACATTCATAGTCGGACGTTTGGTCTTATGGTATACTGTTGTGGGAAATCTTCAGTCTTGGTGATGACCCCTTCAAAGGATTTGAAACCCCGCAAAAGTTGGAAGACTTTTATGCAAAAGGAAACAGATTAACACAACCTGAGTTTATGCCAGCATCTGTGTAAGTTCAGCCATATCATTCGTCTTTTAAAGTGCAAATAGGTGTCAAATTAGTTCATAGCAGCATAACTTCTGTCATGGTACAACTTCCAGCTGCATTAAAATTATTTCGTGACTCATCTGTTAATTTTCAGGTCTAATTTAATGTATGACTGCTGGAAAGAACTCCCAGAAAATAGGCCAACTTTCATCGTCTGTAAAGAGGCCACAGCTGAAATAGCAAAACAAGACTCTCTGGAAGTAAGTGTTGCCAACTGTATTCAACACTTTCATTAATTAAATAATTCTGACTGAATCACCAGAAAATTAATGTCAATAATTTGTTTTAAGAATCAAAAAAATTCCTCCTTACTTTTGTTACTTACTAATTACTAGACTTATAAAAGTCTATCCACCTCTTTGCTCTTAAGTAGATTCTATCACTACCGTAGCTCAACCGAATGCTTCATTATATAATGTCGAACAGATTTTGAAAAACAGCCCTGTCAGAAGCAAAAGTGAAGTAAACTTAGTATGCTCTTAACGTCACAAATCTTTGTGAACTCCCCATCTCTTACGAAAGACAGCAGCTGGAACACAAATATGCAACTCCAAGGAATTTTGAAATTTAAAAATAATGAAAACCCTCAAAAAATATGCCTCAGCAATTTACTGTCCTCAGTCAAAAATAATGCATTTTTAAAAATTAGCACCAAATTACAGAAAAAATTTCAAACAACAAAATGAGACAGCAAGCGAGATGGCTCGAAAAAGACACCCCACACGTTTTAAGACGGTTTTTAACTGTCTCTGAGAGCTCAAGTCTTACGAGAAACCGTTCTAAGATCACTGTAATTTTCGATTAACTACAGTAATCATACCACTTTCCTTATTAATTCTTCGGAAAAATTCCCCCGAAATAAATGAGCTTTTATCATTTAGTTCATACAAATCCTAAAACGTATCTAATTATTCTTTGAGCAACTCTGACATATAAAATACTTTAGCGATACGAAATGCTTCAAAATAAGTTGAACGCCCAACTAGTTCAAATGCAGCGATACGTGGAATGGCGAGACGGCCCCTCTTACGATACGATTCGGAGGAGACGAAAGGTGATTTTGAAGCGCTTTAACCCACAAATTGTGATACTTTTATAGAGAAGTCCATGCACGATTCATAGCCAGCAAATCCTGTGATTAGCAACACATCACTGATAGGCAGAGTAATCTAATAACTGGTCCTTCATTTGATTCCGGTCACAAAATATAATACGCACCAATGATATACAAAAGAACTACAATTCTGGATGAGTAATCAGTTGCTCGGGGGCAAATTACAGAAGCAATACTAAAACTAGAGGGCAGCCATAAAGAAAATAACTTTCTGAAAAGCAACGAGGAACAGAAAAAAGCCCCAACTTCCCCAAAAAACCTTTGTAAGGACGTCAGAAAACCCTAAATATCAAAAATCCTAATTTCAGGCCAGTCAGTTTTCAAAGACACTTTAATGCCGTACGACACCGACAGCTAAACTCAACCAACCTCTTCAAGAAAAACCAAGATCTCCAAACGTCCTCAATCATTCATACGCAGAATGAGCAAGCACGTCAGCCTATGAAAAAAGCCGAGTGTGTTTTAGAAGGCATCAGGGAAAACTTAGTCGTTTGTAATGCAGTTTGGACCAAAATATGTGAATAAATTTTGAAACAGCACCATTTACAACGTAGAGATTGTTGCAGTACAGTAAACTAAAGACAAAAATGTGCCTGCAAACAGTTTCCTCTTCCCTTCTATTAGAAACGTCGCTTCAATAAAGCAAAATCGGAAATTTAAAAATTTATTTGATTACATAATGCACTCTGCAGCAAAATATTCAAAACTCTCAATCCTGCTACAAAGAGTTTTAAGACAAATTACCCTTCAAACTATTCTAGACAAAAATTACAGTGACCTTTACAAGTTCACCAAGCTAGTGAAAGCTGCAAAGAAGTAGCCGAACTAACGATAATATGAAATCGAATGTACACGTTCAAAAAAATGGCGAAGTAGTCGGAGACGCAGACCACGTAAAACTTTCAAAATACACAACTTGAAGTCGACATAAACCCCGACGTGATAGTTAAACTTCGAAGATGATAACCGTAACTACGCTTCTAAATTCTGGATCCAGCACAAACTTCTCTGCAAAAAAGCAACTGAGTTTGTTTCCTACAGCACTACTTTGTTCTTCATAATTCTCAAAAGACAGTTACTCAAGTTTTGTCCTAATTACTCACCCTGAACCACTGACACAAAATAAACACTAATGTAAGTGACCACTTTAAATAAGTAGCCCCTTCTACGACAAAGTAATCTAGATGCTTACAACTAGCAACTTGATAAAAACTTTCTCAAGGACAATCCTGCCGTCAAGTCAAGTGAAATATTACTCAAAACACAAAGAATCCAAGGAAAACTAGAAATAAACAAAATAAAGTGAACGCGACTAAAGCATAAGCAAAGTTCAACTAGAAACATTAAAAAGAGAGGAACGAATCAGCTAGATGTAATATAAAGAGATGAAACCACAGCTGAAAATGACAATTTCCTTGACACTTCTCACAATGATGAGGAATAACACTCAAGAACTTCTCTAAGCACTGACTTAGCCCCTCAATATGACTTTCACCTCCCTACCAAGAGCTTCCCATAAAGTAGAGGGCAACGTGTTATGCTTTTTGCAGCCTAAATGGCTTTTTGCATACAGTCGCGTCGAACTTGCTCTCCAAATTAGACATAAAATGCAAAGCACAAGAAAAAGTAATGCTAATAAGTCAAAAAGTTCTACTGTCAGACACGCAAGTCTAAAACATTATGAATAGAGTTAAAAATGAACATATACATGCGGTGGACTGTAGTAAAAGAAGTAAAATTATATAATAGAACTTCGAATCCAAGCACGTTTGACCTTCTGCACAATTACATTCTGCTGCTCTGGAGGTACATCCACATACCCTGCGACGCGCATATGAAGAGTGCCCAAACCGGAGGTAAGGCTTCGCAGAGCATTAGAAAATCCCAATGTTTCTGCTACAGGTATTCTTGAAAAAATGCATAAGTTGTGATTTTGATCCTTCTTTCCAACCATTTTAAGAATAATGCCACGTCTAGATGTTATTTCTTGTATTACAGCGTTAAAACAATTTTGCCTTTCAGAGCCAGTCAATTCTACCTAAAAAAATCAAAACATCTCAATACTGTTCCTGTAAAAAGCCAACTTTTAACAGATACGAACGAATAGTTAGTTTTTTAAGTGAATAATAATACCTCTGCTTCCATCACTGGTTCAATCAAATGCATAGTCACTTTGGAAAGCGCTTCCCTAACACATTTACAGGCACTGGCCGATATTATAGAAGGTAAAATACGACCACCACTAACGTTAAGTAATTTTAAAGCAATTTTAACACCCATCACTGGAAAACCAAGAACGGGACCACTTAAAAGTGCGTTAGCACAGCCTTCATTCACAGCTTTTATCCATTCAGGTCTTAAGAAAGAATCCCTTTCTTGTAATTGCAGTTCTACCTACAATATCACGAGTAAAAATAAACGTTCCATAATTTGAGAAAATGTTAAGCAATAAAAAGAGACTGCAAAGCAGCAATTTTACATCTGAATCAAAATGACAAGCTAAGTCTAGAAGAGAGTTAGTGAGTAAATACCCAAAACAAATAAAAGCACGAATAGTTATAAAATTATAACCTTTTCAAACGGCCTTGCTTTTTGGTCAGAAAATATTTCAAGCGTAACCGAACATTCATGTTTCATTTTCCTTTCGCCTACAACAGAACTGGCTGTAGCTGAATGTGCAATATTTCCATCAAAAATTTCACGATAAGCAACCTGCACAAGACAAGAAACTTTAAAAACTTGTAATAAATATTGGGTAAAATTGAACTGACTTTCAAGAAGCACTGATTTTGCAGTAAAATAATAGTGATAAGTATTCATAATCAACAAACTACGAGGAAAAAAAAGCGAAATATGCAGAATAACATAAAAAGTAGGGTAAATACAAAGAAATTTTTTAGGTTACGGCGTAAACTAGTAAGTAAGAGCTAAAAACATAAAAGATTCTCGGTGGGAATAAAAAATCAACGAAAACCTGAAGCGGTCCCATAAAAACTTTCAAACCATAATCCCTGTACAGCCGGTCCTTAACTATTTCAATATGTAATTCACCCATAGCTTCAATAACAGTCTGTAGCGTATCATTATCCAGTCTAACACGAACTGATGGGTCCTCAATGGTTATTTCGCGTAAAGCCTAAACTGACAAGTGAAGGTATAAATGTACACTGTAAGCAAAAGTACTTTTGAAGATTATTAATATTAAGAAGCATGGTAAAATACGAAATAAATCAAATGCAAAAACTATAAGGTACAAAAGAAAATTTGAACAACTAAACGAAGCACCTTTTCAAATGATTGCCGGCTAATAGAATCGGGCGGTTCAATGGAACAAAAGAATACTGGGTCAGGGGTTCGAATTCCTGCCAGAAGAACTGATTTGTCGGGATCATCCATCTCAAAATTCTGAAAGAAGGCGTTGGTAACCTCTAAGTGCAAGTTAAATAACAACCTGAAAGAACGAAAAATTTATTCAAACCTGTGTAAAAACACTGCTTGCAACATTTTCCTCGACAGATTTCTTCAATCGTTGTTTTGCTCTCTTAAACGAACTTTCACTTTGCAACAAAGTGTCGCCTGTAACTGTTGAGTGAAGACCAGAAACTACTGCAATTTCACCAGCCTATAATCAGTTTGAATAACACGTAAAAAAGAAAAAAAAAGAAGGAATTTACAAATCTGATGTAATGTGGAAGACTGATTACTCAAAAAAAAAAAAACTGGAAATTGAAACGAAAGTACCTGTACAAAATCAACTGGTTTTAGTACATCACTGTAGGGGAAAAAAGTGGTTACACGATCTTCCACTTTATCACGAGATGCATTGTACAACGAGCTACCGTTTTTTAACGTCCCCGTGTATATCCGTACATAGCAATTTTGCCCATGACGTTTGTCGTGATTGATCTAAGAGTTAGACTTTAATGCTTTATCAGGATATAAAATAAACTTAAGCATTTAGGGTAAACCAAATACAACAAAACTAAAACCATCGTAGTCTATAAGTACATCTCAAACTATTTATTTCAATTATTATTACCTTGAAAACCAGTGCGCTAAGCTCATCCTCGAACACCTTTCTAATCAAATTGTTTCGCTGAACAGGAGCTGGAAAAAACCTAGCAACTAGGTTCAACACTGGCCGCACACTTTCAGTACACCTATGTCACTCTTTCATTATGAAGGAATCAAAAAGTGATATGACTGTTACAAAAAAGCACTATTCCATATGCAAATATAATAAGACCAGTGCAAAAAAAACTATGAGTAAAAGAGAACCTCAGCGCAGAGCCACAGACTACTGGTACAATATTCAATGACAAAGTGTTTTTTCGTAAACAACCATTGATAATAGCATTAGAATTTGAATTATTCGATGATGATTCAGAAAGGAGCCAAGTTGCAAAGTCATCGTCAGCATCCGCAAGTTTAGAAAGCATCTCTTCACGTCCTAATGTCAGCGTATCATTCATGTAAAAGCAGTAATTAAAAACAAATTATAAAAACACGAGGAAAAAAGTAATGTAGACCAGCAAGATGATCAATACTTACTCCTCACATTCTGCGAGAATTTCTGTCCATCGTGCACCATTACCATCAAGGCAATTAAGATACTTTTTTTCTAATAAGTCATAAATTCCACAGAACTTTCCATCCTTTCCAAAAGCTGGTAATGTGATCTTAAAAACTCGAAGCTCTTAAACATACGTTGCAGTCGGCAAAGTAAAAGAAAAAATTTCAAGAAGTAGACAAAAATATTCACATAAGCTAAGATTCCATAACATATGGTAGGGTAAACTCACTGGCACTACGTTTTTCATGAGCAATCGCTCAGATATAGATTCAATAGATTTCTGATAATCTGCATTTGGTTTATCCATCTTGTTTAAAAAGAAAGCACAAGGCAACTGAAACTTTTTTGCTTGTTCCCATACCGCTATTGTTTGAGCCTCAACGCCAGCAGAAGCATCCAGTACAGTGACTGCAGCATCTAAAACACGAGCACACCTTTCAACCTGAAAAATCATGCTATAATTCAGTAAAAAAACCATGTTTCGTAGCCGTAGCGTAACAAAACTTAATAAAACCTCCAACGAAAAGTCAACATGTCCGGGAGTGTCAATAAGATTGATTTTGCAATTCATCCAATCAAAGAAAATTGCAGCTGACTGAATCGTAATTCCACGTTCTCTTTCCAGTTCCAAAAAATCTGTTACAGTGTTTCCTACAAAGTATTCAACCGGATAAGAGGAAACAAAACTTAAACCTCATCATATTACACTCTTAGTGCTCGGCTGAAACTAAAAATCCTCTCCGAAACCAACTCAGACAAGAGAAAAACAACAATTACCAGAGTCAACATCCCCCACTGCTTTGGTCGCTCCAGCCAGATAGAGCATACGTTCAGTGACTGTAGTTTTCCCAGCATCAATGTGCGCAATAATCCCAATATTTCTAATAAAATTTGGATTGTAGTCTACAAATAAGTGTACCGTTGTAAACGAAAATTACCGCTGGCGCTTCGAAGATTTCAAATAACTCTTCGCTAACACTTACCCTTTTTTACATTTCCACCAACACTAGATAGAAAAACTTGAAGCCATCGTAGAGGGTAGCGTTTCTTACGACAGAATGCTGAACAGTAGCGTAGAATAATGGTCATTGACCAATAAATTGAGAAAAATGTAAGGCAAGATACTTATAATAATATCATACTGCAGCTATAAAAATTCAGGAATTCTAAGAAACGAGAACTCCACAGTTTTGCAAATTTTAAGTGGAGTACACTAACCCTTGCTACTATACTTCAGTGAGATGCTTATCAAATGGCAGGAAGACTGAAAATTAGCACAAGGTTGGGCATCCTGCCAAGGTAATAAGTAAATTTTTACACTTCAGGCTGCGTGCCATATACAGCCTAAAACATCGGGCTCTCGGCTTTTCCGCTTTTTTTTCTTCATGTGGTTTACATCTGTAAATTTCGTTAAAGACTCTGAACAGGCGCATTGTTTTAGCAACTACGCGTACTGTGAAGTGCATTGTATGTTAGACAGATAGATTACATTCTATATGTGTGTCCTTATAATCCTTGCGTCCTGGCAGGACTGTTAGTTGATTAGTAATAAGTATACATACCGCGTTTTTTCAAATCTCAAGCTGATTAGTTGGTAAAAAGCTTTTTACGCGGTTCTAGAAAAATAAGGGTATGATTGTGTAGTATTTTAGTGGTATATGTGCATTTTCTATCATATCATCTGACAGCGTTTGCTGAATTTTCTTTTTACCATTTTTCTCATTTCAAACATGGGACGAGTCTTTCTACTTATTTTTAGCAATATGAGCACAGTTGGACACAGACCTGGAGCTTTTAGCCATGTGAATAAGAAACATAAGACGGGCCGCCATCGTAGTAAGGGTTCAATCAACAATGCGCTAAGAGGTAAAGTTGACAAAGTTTTCATATCGTATTATCTCTTTGTTAGAAGGCTTACGTATGATGTGCATTTATATTTACCGGAAATCGCTTTATTGAACTTAAACGAGATCATTTTGCATTTCTCGGTTGTGTCGGGTAAATTTACTTGGCTTTTTGAAAAAAATTTTTTTAGGTAGAATTAACATCAAAGTGCGATCATCTGTCTCTTTAAAGGATCATAATAGACTAGTGAGGAGACACCAAGCTGCTCAGCTAAGAACCCAGAAAAGAAATCAGCTTTTGGATTTGAAACGTTGTATGGGCGAGCAAGTACTGCCAGTTTTAACGGTAAATATTTAAAAGGTTCTTAATAATCAGAAGCTTTCTATTAGACCAGTAAGTAAAAAGGTTATAAGCTGTATAAGTATGAGTATATCTGACGTTTTTTGACCTCTGGAAGTAATATTATCTTTTACAGACAGTCGTATCACTGGTTGACAACTATTCTGCAGATGAATTTGTAGGGCTATTGCGTGATTCCGACAGTGACGCCACTTGTTCCTCAACTGCAGAGGGATACATTAATCAAATTTGGTAATTATTTCTTATAACAGTTAAATTGCTTTTATGCCTTTTATATGGCGACTTAGTATAATTTTCGCTTTATGATGATGGTTGGTCTAAAATACAGAAGCTCTCTGTTGCTATTAACATTAGAGTAGAATTGAGACGAATAGTGAACGGTAAGCTTAAGTGCCATACCAGATCTTCTAGTAAAAAATGTTTCGGCTTGATGTATCTGATGAGACTTTAGAACAGTGATATTATAAAGATTGAGTTGTGCGAAACTCTTCGATGGACTAGATGGTTGAGAAAGTGAAAGCTTAATCTTCGAGGGTGGTTTTTATATCGGCTGTTATGTGAAAGCAAGACTTAAATCTCACTTTCGTATTCGTTAGTGTTCAGGTGTCCACGATTCAAAAGGCATTACCAGTTTATTACACCTAATTTGTCACGGCTTAATGAGGTCCTTTCTGTGTCTGCTTCTTCCGATGTTATGGCGTTTCTTTGGCCGCTAAGCGGTGAAATCTCAGAGGAGTTAAGTACTATCTTAAATGTTGTTTCACACTACGGTTTGCCTACGACGTTACATTTTCTTCCTGGCCTTAACACTTTGAAGAAACCGAAATTGAAGGAGCATGCAAGAAACGTTGTCCGAAAACTCATGATTAAGTGGTATGTGGCTTTCACGCTTTAATAAGTGATGTTTTCTGTGGCTTGATTGTGAATCTGTTATCATTTTTCTGCTACAGTAACAATACCACTTTATGAATTTTGGTTATCGAAATTTATGCCGTTTTACGAACAGATTTTTTACAAGGAGTTTTGGTGAGAAGTTAATGGCATGCGATAATAACACTGATGGCTTGTCAGTCTTGAGGATATTGTCAGAAATTAAGAAGAAGCCTACTATTTTGCAGAAGAGACACTCTTATCTAATTTGTGAAAAATCGGAAACTTTGGATGTCACGGTACATGAAGATTTTTCCTTAAATGTATTATGTGCCGTTTTTTGATCTGCAACTAAGTTTAGTTCACTGAATATAGGCGGATGGGTTTTGTACCTTAAAGTTGACGGGCTACGCGAGGGGTCCACCGCTGAATGTGAACCATCTAATTCATATTCAAGGTTACGGAGACTACCAGTTAAAGGAAGTAAAAGTCGAAGATGACCCACTTAGAATGAAAAAAAAGATGGTTGGTTCTTAAGACACTTTGTAACGCGGGATCTGTTGTTCTCTGTACAGGTACGAAAAATTCTAATTCAGAGGGGCAGGGAATAAAGAATTTTTTGAAAATTAAAACGATAATTTTTTTTTGTGGAAAAAACTTTATTTTTTTTAATACCTCACTGTTTCTTATCATTTTCTTTGAACTTTACTTGGGTGGTGCTATCATTAGACTTTTGGCTTAGTTTTAAATTGGCTTCATTTCTTTCCTTGGCATGGGGTTTGACTTCGCCTTCAAATTTTGAATAAAAATTTATGCAGCTTGCTTCTACTGGTGCTTCCAGTAGAGATTTTAGTTTGCTAAATTGAGCAGATTTATTTTTATGATATAGTTCTTTTATATAATTAGTACTGACTCTCACTTTCGTGTTTTTCTTGTAGGGTGTCGTTCAGAATGAAGTAATATTACCCAGTCCAGATTTCCAAATGCCTTTAGTGTCGGAGCATACACCTGATCCCATGGAGGCAGAGCAGACATGGCCTGAAAAGGACGAATTTCCTGAAGATGCTTGTACGTATTTAAGTTGGGTTTCTGTGCTAGTGTGAGTAGCGGTGTTGTCGAATTAGAATTGACTTGATTTTTGTGTTGGTTAAGAAGAGTTATATCTGAACAAAACGGTTTATTTCATCACTTAACTGCTGTTTTTCCAGTTGAAACTAATCACTGTAAAAAAAAAGTGCCTGTGGGGACTTCTTCTTATCAAGCAGCTTGGATTTTTGATGACAACGAAGCTGAAGAGGAGTCAAGAGACAGTGAAGAAGTATAAATAATAATTTTTGGTTGACATTTATTTTGGCTTTATAGTGCCAAAGTATTAGGGACTTGAAAAACTTTAAAAATTGGTTTTATTTTTAGTAGTTTATAATTGAATTTTCAAGAGGTGCCTAGCTTTCTTTCTGTAACTAACGTTTCGTTCTAGTTTCTTCTCTTCAGAAAATGTTTTTATTGTATTTCCTTTACTTCTTTGGTATTAGGTTGACTTTCCTGCTACTGACAACGAATGTATGGATTATGAGGCACAAAGTAATGAAGAGTTGGGTCATCGAGGTGATATTGAAGATAATGTACTCGCTTTTATATTTTATTCTCTTAGCGCTGTTAGTGGACTGAATTTTTTGGTATTTTGTTTTATATAATTTAGAGCGTCGAGGAAGCTCAATCTGTTTCTATGGAGGATGTTGAAGATCTTGGGGTAGACACATCTCTTGTTGAAAAATTCAGGCAAGAACGTATGGATGCTCAGTTTCCAGATGAAATTGACACTCCTTTGGAGACTCCAGCTCGCGTAAGATTCCAAAGATATCGTGGTCTTAAAAGTTTTAGGTCTGTTAGTTTTTCAACTTAAACATGAGATTTATTCTGAAATGTTTCAATTTGGGACAGTTTTTATACATTTTTCGTTGCTTACCTTAATTCTACTTTTAGGACTTCTTACTGGAACCCTGCAGAGAATCTTCCGATCAGCTATGCAAGAATTTTTAAATTTGCAGATTATAGATGTTCTAGAAAGAACGCCCTTTCAAGCATTCATGATGAAAACGAGTATACTGTTTCATCAGGATCGTATATAACTTTATCGCTAATGAATGTACCCCTAGTTGTAGCTGGCAAGTCAATTACATTAATTCCTTTGTTTTACAGGCTTTTCAGTTTATATTTTACTGTATTTTGTGATTTTAAGTATCATTTTTTAGAAAACTTTATTAGCAATTCTGGTATGGTCGTTTACTCTCTGTTACCTCATGAACAGCGCATGACCGTAGTGAATATGGTTTTGAATAAATACCCAAATTGCGGGATCCCTATAGCTAATAAACAAAAATTACTTTTTTATGTTGGTTATCGCCGATTTGAGGCTCAACCTATTTTCTCTCAGCATACAAATGGAGATAAATTTAAGGTTACTCTTTAAATTTTCATATACTCTCTTTTATCGTGGTATGCGTAAAAAGAGTTCTTTCTGATTCTTAAAAAGCTGTTTTTCTGAAATAAGTGTAAAATTATTGCTAATGTTTGACGGATTTGTAAAGAAGATAATGAAGACTTATCGTTGTAGGAATTTTTAAAAAACTGGTTTTCATTTGTACAAGGTTTATGTTGGATGCCTAAAGCATTCTAATTAGGGGTACATTTTATTTCTTTTTATACGCCTTTGATCTGCGGTTCCTGAGGTTAAATGAATAGAGAAAGTTTGGTATGTTATTGCCGATTAGGGCTTGAAGGGAAGCAGAAGAATAGGCCTCAATATACTATATCCTCTTGTTATTGCCGTTATAGCATTTTCCGGTCATTGGAGGTTATTTCGCCGCTTCCTGCAATTACCAATGAAAACTTTGTCGAGCTTTTGTGCCAGTTTAAAATTTTGCCCAACTAATTTAGATGGAACGTTTTATGCCATCCAAGGGATCTTTTGTGGCTACTGTTTTCGCACCAGTCATTTTCCCGCCCTCTCCAGTATTAGCTTTCCACGAAGATGCTAAAGGGAAGCTTCGTCTAGTTGCTTTTGGAGGTGTTCTAAACTTAAATCCAGATAGAATTGTTTTGAAACGAGTTGTTCTTTCTGGGCATCCGTTTAGAATCTATAGAAGGCATGCGGTTGTTAGATATATGTTTTTTAATAGAGGTTTGTAAATTCTTCTTTTTATCGTTTTCAGTTAATACTGTAAATGTTAACTTTGAACCATGCCCTAATAAATATTAAGTACTGTCGAACGGGCAGACTTTATTTTTAACTTGTTTTTTAGAAGATATCGAATGGTTCAAGCCAATTGATGTTTATACTCCTCGTGGAAGACATGGGAACATAACAGAGCCGCTTGGTATGTTCTTCTTTCTCAGTGTGCTTGCCGCTTGTTTATAGCCAGTATTGTAATAAAAAGTTTTAAGGTACGCACGGTTACATGAAGTGTGTTTTTGACCAGCAGCTAAACGCAATGGACTCGGTTATGTTAAATCTTTATAAAAGGGTATTTCCCAAGTGGACTTACAATCCGGAAGTTGCTGACAAATTGTATTCCAAAAAAAATTCAGCTTGAAGAGCGTTTATACTTGAGTTGCCATATTGCTCTTTTTTCTACATTTTTTCAGATAATAGTTTCTGCATTATTTGTTGTTTTGGATGTAGACTTTGTAGAGAGTGGTATTGCTTTTGTTAATATAGGGGAATTATTGTTAATAAATATATTGACATTTATGTGTCACAGTTTCCTGATGCCTGGTTTTTCAGTATTTAGTTTCGCTAAGTATCCAGTAGCAGTTATTATAACATTTCCTCAAGTTTGTTTAAGATGAACGGTTTTATTTATGCCGTAAACTCGTGACTGTGTTCTATTTTAGAAGCTTGTTTGGCACTTGGAGAACTTGCCCATATATGGGCTATTGGCATTGGATCTACGTCTTTTAGATGGAGAAGGAAGGTAAAGGAAATATTTGGTTGAACTTTTTTCTGGGATGGTGAGATTTGCGATTAGGCGACTTGGTTTCTAAGTACAAAGTTAGGGTTGCTTTAGAGGAATGGACTCACTGTTTATAAATTTCTTGTAGGTCCTCCTTTTTATTACGGCTTAGAGATCAAGTATTTTTGCTATAACTGCGTTTGGGAGGCTGTTGAGATCATAGGATGTGGAGTGGAGTGAGAAAATTTGTGATGGAATTGTGGGATTGAGTGGTCAAAAGATTGATGAATTTTAGTGGTGTTCTGAATTTTGCAATCCTTCAGGTGTTTCCAGTTTTCTGCTTATTTCATTAAATGTCATGATATTGCAGATCGAGCAAGTTTTGCAGCACTGGGGCGGTTTACAGAACTTTTAAACAAATTAACAGTTGTAGAACATGATAGTATTGGTCATAACAGGAGAAGAGTTTGTTTTATCCAGGTTTGCTATTCAATGTTTTTTAGCATTTTGCACCTTTAACCGCTTAGGCATTTAAGCATAACCGATTCCATTTTTTTTTATCGTTATTTTTTTCTTACTAATTTCCCTATCTTAAATGACGATCCCGTTTTACATGTCTACGGCAATTTTTAGGGCAGTGGGACGGATAGTACTCAAATTGTTGAGTTGGCTCAGAGTGGAAATGCTATAGTCGACAAATGCGTAATGACATTTTCTTCTTTAGTTCTTGAAACCAATCGACTTCAAGATATTGCGTGGACGGAGGTGTACCCTGCATTGCTTTTATACGGAGAAGACGGTAAAATTTCTGTATTTGTTGTTTTAAGATGTTATTTTTTGAAGAATTACTGTTAACGTAACATGAGAATGCAGTACCCAGTACAGGAATTATTCCTAAAAATTTCAAAGATTTTTTATTACTTTGATTATAGTGGACGGACAGCTTGCGAGTGAGGGTGGCTCAGTTAAAATGATGGCCAATTTCCTTCCTTTTTTACAGGAAGTATATGTTTTTGTAAATCGTTGCTATGAAGTGTTTCGTAATGCAATTCTCCAGATGTATAATTTTTACTTAATACGGTTCGTTTTTTTTTTAAGCACTGTTAAAGTGATTAGGTTTTTCATTACCGTCATTGCAAAATATTTCTTTCAATTTTCAAAACAGATTCGTCTTAGTTCTCTTGCTTTACTGTTGAATTTTTGATGAGTTATAGGGAAGATGTGTTAGAACGGACACGACAGAGAGCAATGTTGCGAATGTGGAGAGCTGTTGGGGGACTTCTTTCCGTCTTTATATTTCTTGATGAGATTATACGAAGTCATCCTCTAATACTTTCGCATTGGAGTTTTTTCGTCAAGTTTGTCTTGTCAAGTCATAAAAGGTTTTTATCGTTCCTGATTACCTAATGATTGTGTTTTACGAAATATTTAGATCAATGCAGTCGGTCCTTCATAATCCCTCTCTCTTTAATGCCGATTCACCTCTTCTAAAGCCACTTTCAAATGTGGTCCAACAGATTGGTTCTATGATTATGGACGGATTTATTTTTAAAGTAAGTTCAGGTTTTAAAATTGTTTTTTTATTTTGTATTTGTAAAATTATCTTTTCAGAACTGTTGTCAACAACCTTTTCAAGCCGCCTTACATGCTGACTTATCGTTCTGTGAACATATACGTAACATTATTCTGAGCATGTATACAAGATGGGAACGTGTCGCTAGTTTGTTTTAATAATTACTGGAAAATGTAGCTTTATTTAATATTCCTCCTTCAAAATTTCAACATAGTTTAGCACGCTTAATACTTATTAGGTGACGATATAGCTGATAAACGTCTTCTTTCCTCCATTATTGCATTAGCAACGTTCCATTCTCATCTGTTCCGAACTGTGGATAAAAAGCTGTTCAAAATGATCTGGCATAGCAATAATCGGGTAAACAATTATCACTGAAACTGGTAGTGAACTGGCTGTGTTAAGTTCATTTTTCTTGGGATATTGAAAGATTTCAACAATCAGAACAGTATAATACATTAAAATATGTGGTGCAAAGAATAATTAAAGGATTTTTCAAAAAATCAAAGAAAAGTTGCTATTTAGCTTGCTACATTTCACGTTATTGGGGACATCGTGTGGACGCCTTGTGACTTCCTCATAAAAAATGTTTCTGAACTTGAAAAAGCGATTGATAAAAAGTCATTATCGTTTGTTGGAGAGTTCCGTTCAGTACCAGTTGCACAAAAGACTGCTCTGCTTGCTCAGGAAATGACAACTACAGCTAATTTGGTAAGCAATAAATTCCTCAGCTTTTTAAAATAGAAATGTGTTTATTTATTAGCAATTAGAGCCTCAAAATCTTCATTTCTCGTATTCTACATATAAGCTAATTGTGAACTGAAGTGTAAAAAGTCTTCATTTGTCGAAGTTACCTAAATAAACTTGCAAGGTATCTGTCTCCTAAATTTTTAAAATTTTTTCGTCATTTAGTCGCATCTGTATATAAAGTTTACTATTAATTTTCTTTGCTAAAATAACCTCTCCGCAGCTTACTGAATGGATCTTTAAAATGGAGGAGGAGTTGCGTAATTGGCCCATAGAGAACGTACATGGACATTTAAAGCAGAGAATCATACTTTTCTTAGAGGTTTGAAGTGTTTAAAGTTTGCTGTATTCTTTCTTGTAAGAGAAACATTTTTTATTTCGTTTTTTATCTGTTATTCGTTTGGAGACCTTGGTTAAAGTGTATATTTTAGGGGATGCGTCAGGCAGATTTGCTTTCCAGAACTGTGAAACTAGTTTTATGTGGGACTTTAAATGAAAAAAAACCCTTGTCACGAAGCGTTGCTATGGACTGCTTACGATTTATACAGCTTATAAAGGCATACCCCTTAGATCATCATTTTTGCTACGGAACACGAAATGATAATTTTTTCCTGGAAGATACTTTTAAAAATATCTTCTGCGATGTTGAATTATTTTGTTGAGATGAATTTTGGTTTAACCAAAATACTAACTGCTTTTGAGAAGCAAATTGTAAAATTTATTGTGTGAAGTTAGTAGATCATTTTTTTAATCGGGAAGAGTTGTTTAATTCTGATCAGTTTGCTTGACTATACAAATTTATTATTTTTAGGAAGTTGAAAGCACTTTCATAAAGTGGTGGAATGAAGTCTTCGAGTGTATACAGCAGGGTCTTCAACACTGGAGTGGCCAATTACTGCGGCTTGTAAACAACGCACGCGAGTCATTGCGATCTGAGGCTGTTCTTTCTAACGACAAAGTTGATATTATTTCTTCCCTTACCATAGCCGGATTATCGCTAAGTGGATCTAGTGAGTTGGAATTACTTTATCTTTTCTTTTTTGTAATTTAGCAGATATTTCACACTAAATCTTTGTTTTTATTGAATCTGAACACTGAATGGTTTTCTTTTTGATGTTATTTCAGATATTACAATACTTCATTTATTTTCAGTGTCTTCTATTCGGATGACAGTTGCAGGAATCGCGTTAGACTTTGTGCAGTACGCTGTAATTAGTTCTAAGTGTTGTTTTTAAACAATTTGTGCTTATCAGTGTATACTTAAAATTCATTTTAACCTTTCTGGCGTTTAGAAAATTTTCCGTTCTGAAGAGCTGGAAACGGCTAATGACCTTATATGTCGAATGGAAACATTTCTCAAATTTCAACAAACTTTGGCTCGACTTTGTAGCTGTTCTTTCCTTTTCTGGCACCGATCTTTGATTTCAACATATTTCGACTCACTGATTAACGAATCTGTTCAATATGTGGAAGTCGGTTAATTTTATTTTATATTAAGGCTGCTGTTTCTTTAAAGCATTAAGTAAACCAACTGGGAAAATTTAATTAAATTTGCTGTTAAACGATACACTTAACTTTTGTATTTGAAAATTTTTAAATAACTTATTCTTTCAGTACTTCTTTGCTGCGGTAACAGACGTAGAAACTCTTCTAAACGCGTGTCGTCACGTCGATCCAGGAAACTTAAAGAAAAAGTTTTGCTCTGAAATTTTTGACGACTTTGAAAAGGTAGATATATTCTCGTTTTTTCATCTATTTTAAAGTAGAATTTTATGTGTGTCATGCTCAAAGAATTACTGAGTTTTAGTGCCGTCTTAAAATTAAATAGGTAGAATTTTAGAAGTTTTTAATGAAACTATGTGAAGCAGTTGAAACCGATCTTCGTTTGTCTATGCATTCTTATCTTCAACCTGTCGAAGCGAAGCTAGCTAAAGGTCCTGTTCAAGAAAAGAGCTTTCATTTGAAGCGCTTGCTGGATTTACCTCCTCTGTTTCTCTGCGGCCAGTTTTTTGATGTCAAAAGTAAATATTCTATTCCGCACTTTCTTCTGCAAAAAAAAAAAATAATCTTACGGCGAAGAAAAACATTTTTTGGACTAAAATAGTTGGTTTGATGCTGTTCATTCATATTTTTCCTTTAATAATTGAGTGACGTTAGCATTTTTACCTCGACTTTTACATTAACACTTCGTACCATCTTTTCCTCATCATTCGTAGGGTACACAGAACTGCACTTGGAACGTGCATTTTATAATTTGACTGCAGTGGCCCTGCATGATTGTCATACTTACGTTGAAATGCGACTGCTTGCATTTGAGAAATATGGTTTACATTTATGCGAAAGTCACTTGCCTTTCCAAACTCTTGATCAAGGATCGGATATGCTCCTAATTACGAGAAACTTGCACCTTTTTGTTTCAAATTACAACTATAATTTAAATGGACAGGTATTAAGTAGATTTACTTTATGCTTCCAATACTTCTGTGATAATCAAAACTATTTGCAGTTTTTCATCGAGAAGGATAGCAGAAATAAACATTTAAACATACTTTCTGTGGAACATGTAGCGAATTCTGTGCGTACACACGGCACCGGTATTATGAACACTGTAGTAAGTTCAATCATTCTTTGATTGGTTTTTTTTTTGACAAGTGCCGGATTCTGGGACAAATTATTCATAAATTGCATCTAGTTATTACTGAAGTATAGCGCTGATTTCCTCTTATGTTTTAAAAATAAGCATTTTTCCTAGGGGTGTGTCCTCGTGATGCTGCACGAATCACATTTTTACCAACTCTAATTAAAAACTGTCCTGCGTTCTTAAATGCACGTTAAAGGCCCTGTTGGTCTATACTACTTTTTTATTTTTAGATTAACTTTGCGTATCAGTACTTGAAGAAGCGGTTTTTCGTTTTTTCTCAGTTTTTATACGATGATCACATAAAAGGGCAACTGATCAAGGAGATCCGATATTTTCAATCAAACGCAGACCAGTTAAATAAAATGGTGCGGTAATCGTTTATAAGACGTAGTAGCATCGTAGATTTGTTTCATGTTTTTTTGCCGTTACTTTTTGATAAATCTTGTCTTAAATTGACTACTAGAAATGTTACGTTACTGTTTCTTGCTCTAAATAGTCATAAGTACCAACGTACGTACGGTTCTGACATTCCAACAAAATAATTAACTTTAAGTTTTTAAAAAAAGTCAATAATAACTTAAGAGGTCGTTAAAGATGAGGTTAATGCAGCGGAATCGTATATGAGAGCCTCACCCATTTCATTAAACATGTTTTTTGTAGTTTAAGCGTTATTTTGCTTTACTTTTTTTTTCATTTTTGAAGGTATTCATTTAAAATTTTCGCTTACACCTCTGTATCTTGAGATCTTTTTCTGTAGCGTGCTCTAACTTCATTATCAGCGAAAAGTTCATATTGCTTCTTTCGCAGATGTACTGCCAAATGGTGAAAATTGCCTTTTACTGGTGGAGATTTGGTCTTGCATATGGAAAGCGGGTTAATCGATGTTTTTTACTGTTCATAGTTTTCAATGTTATCTGTGCTCATTTTCGACGCAAGTGACGGTCGTCTCTGAAAAAACCACTTTGGAGGGTTGAACATGCTTCTGCAAAGTTAGGGACATTAGCAGCTGCAAGTAGTTAGCCTGCAATCGCTTTCCCTTTATTCGCTTCGCGCGGAGGTGCTAGCCAATTTAATTGACTTTGGAACCTAACCCGTGACTTCATGTCACTTATTTTCGTTTCTGGGAGTGATCTTGACCACCACTTTATATATCTGACCATCAGGATCAGAGAGTTTGGCGAGACTTTCACCTTTTGATAGTCCGTTTTCATTTGTATAGTCGCTTGGCCATCTGTGCGCGGTTGGCTTGATGAGGGGAACTCTTCAAATTGTATCTGACCTTGCAAATGGACAAAGTAACATTATTGCTTTTTTTCTGCATAGAAAGGAGGACTGCAGTAAAATGATGTTTTCTGTTTTGGAAAAAGTAGTTGTAAATGAAGTTAAAGTAACGGAAGAAAGAATAATTAGTGGGATTTCTTTCAGTGCACATCTTTGCGCTGGGTTTGTCAAACGTAGTCAGTAAATACGGTATCATCAGTAGATTGACATAATCTTTTGGCATATCATCTCTTTCCGCACAATTTTTTCAAATTTCTTATAGCATAGTGAATCGTTAGTAGTTGGGAGTTTTATTTCAGCATTGGATTTATTGACATAGAGCTTCAAGCAACCCGAATATAAAACCATTTCGAGAAAATCTTTTTCCTCCGTTTTTTGGGCTTCCATTTTTTGACTTTGATTTTTTTAAAGATGTTCAGCCTTTTAGTTTTTAAAAGCTGGGGATAGAAAGTTACTCTAGAAGCTGCATCTTGTCAGGGCCTCGAGATAAAACGTTTCTGGGTTTCCTTCCTCCTCATCACTATGCTTTCTCGTATTTATCGCTTATTTTCAGTATCCGATGAAAAGAGTACAGCGATTTAATAGCCGTATAAGACGTCTCGGGGTAACCGATGAGGGCCTTTCCTTCTTGGACAAATTCCGAATACTAATCACTAATATCGGGAATGTCATGGGATATGTTCGGCTTGTCCGGTAAAAGTTTGACCTTGTCCTTGCAATTTAGAAAATTGTATGAAACTTTATATATAAAATCTTTTGACCTATTAGCCTCTTCAGTGCGTATCTTCTCCGTTTGAAACGCAATCTTAAATGCTAAGTTTTTAGTTCAGGAAGTATTGAGGCTTCCTCTCATTCTTTGGCATTCTTGCGCGACCCTGATGATGTAGTTTCATTCGCTTCTCTTGCAACTGACAGCAGCTTTTCTGCAGAAACTGTCGAGGCTGCTAAATTTCTGGATGAAGTACTTGAAGAGACTGCAAAAAGTGTAAATCAGTCAAATAATTACTTACAGGCAGGAATCTTTTACTTGCACTAGTACTCTTTTCACTATTTTTAGCAATATTTGAAGGATAGAAAGTAAAGTGGAAGTCGTAAGTTGAAAATTCTTATTTTTTTTGGTAGTCAAAGGGTGAATTGTCTTCTACTTCTTTACTTTTACTTTAAAAGGTGGTTTGTTTATAACCATACAACAATGGTACAATAATCCTTTCGTAATTGTTTTCTCAAATTTATCAGTGTTTAAGTGGCAGTAGGTTTATCTATTACAAGATACTTTTCAGCAGCCATCTTTTGTAGCAACTACTATTTTTTACTGCGTTTATTACCTTTTGTTTAGTTTTTATGGCACTTTTTAAAAATAAATGTTTGGACTATGCTTTCTTTCACTCATTCAAATTTTAACTTTGGGGTTTTTTATGCGAAATAATTTTGTTAAGTTATGACATATAAATAACGCATATTTCTTATGTTTGGATTTTTATTCGTTATATTAATTGTAATTAGCGGTGTTTTTTATCTTCAGATCTTGGTTGAAGTATTTTCCAAAGAACTGAGGAATTTCGAGAAGTATGAACATTTGAGAAACTTTTATGTCATAGTGCCATCACTAACCGTTAACTACGTCGAAAGTATTTTGAATTGCAAGGGGACTTTAGGAAGAAGAAGTCAGCAGAATAGCTCCTTCACCGACGATGGTTTCGTTCTTGGTAAGTTGACAAAATCAGAAAACTCTTCCGGTCCCTAATGTTACCTCCCCAGCTTTTCATCTTCAGTTTTTGCTCAGAATTCCCAGTAAATTTATCACGTTTGCATGCAAGAAAACTTGGAGAAAAGTAGGAACAGCTAAATTGTAGGTGGCATTGGTTTTAATTTCAGGGATAGCGTTCATCCTAACTACACTTGATCAAATTGGAAAATTTGAATCTTTGAACTGGTTCGCCTCGGTAGAAAAGCGTTGTGAGGATGAATCTGTGGTAGCCAAGACGCCAAGAAATTTAGGCAGCCGCCTGGAACTGGAGCCGTCCGTTAAAATACGCATAGCTAAATTGGAACATTACCAGAAAGTACTTTTTTCTTAAGTCTAAAACTACGAATTTTCAATAGTAGAAAGCGAAGAATATTGCAGCTGCAGCCTTGAGACGTTTCTACAAAAAACAGATTCTATGCAAAGACTCGTTGGCAATTTCTTTGCCAAACGGCTCATTCGTTAATGTATCGAAAGTTATTTTGAATGGTGTACTTAGGCGGAAATTTATCGTAACAGCTCTTAGCTCATCACCTTTTAGCTGAATGAAAAGCTTTCGAGACTTTTAACTCATCAACTGCATTGTTTGGTTATGCAGTAATCACTTTAAACAACTGGTTTTTGGTACATCCTAAAGGTTTCAAAATTTTCAGGAATTTCGCTTGCTTTTTTACACGTTTCACTCTGCGAAGATTTTCTTCAAGCCACATAATGGTAAGAGTTCCAGTACAGTAAGTTTACGCACAGTTGCAGTGGAAAAGGTGGTCCAAAAAATTATTAGATAGCAGCAATCCTACCACAAGTTTTTTTGCTTTTCCTTACATTTTTCTACTTTTGCCAAGGTTTAGACGGAAGTACGATATCGATCTGAAGGACTATGCATATTCAAGAGTATTGGTACTTTAAGGACTGGTCATTGTTGGCGGACGGTAGTTCTCAACCAAAAAGCTTTTTAAAATAATTTAAAGTTTGGTATTTGATTTCTGCTTTTTCAAAAACAGGTCATTTTGTTTAAACATTAATTCGTGAATTTTGCTGTGGTCTCGTGTGTAGAAGTTGTTCTACTAGCGGTTTTAAGTCCAATGTACTGAAGAGTTCGTACGGGTTCCGAACATTTCGATTATCCAATAGCAAGTTTACCGAGGAATCAAACAGCGCACTGAATTCAGTCTCATATATGAGCAAATGTAACCGTTGATTAATCAGAAAAAAAAATGTAGCCAGGAAAGGGAAGGAATTTTAAATGTTTCGACTGGAGTTCTTCTGGAAATCATGTTTTTTTTAGCACGCAGTTGTTTGCCCGGTTAAGACAGTGATTTTGATTGCAAAAATTTCTATCAGCAGTACACTCCTACAACTTCTACTTTGTTGTGTCGGAAATTGTTGGCCGTTTACGGAAGTAATAAAGAAAAACGGGTAGGGACAAACAGTTTTTGTTCACTTCATAGAGTACGATTTAGCAAATCGTCTTTATTGCAGTGATACAACTGTTTCTATGCCTGTACTTATATAGAAAGGAATTCAGGTTTTGCTTCATTAACTGTAATTGGCTTTTTCTTTGTTTATGTAAAATGCTTCCTTTTAAAAACAATTTCGTACTTCCTTAAATATGATATAAAAAGAAGCCAAATAGGCACTTGGGATTGTAAAAACTAATACGCAAAGAATTCCGCAAACTGCAAATTTCCATACTGCCTTCCTCATGTTAATTGAGGTTTCTTATGTAATTTTGTTCTAAATTCGAGCATAGAAACATACTGACGATAATCGTGCAGAGAAAAGAAGAAAAAATTGGTTTTGATTGTACAGGACATTATATA